TAGAATTATTATACCATGGAACAAAACAAACCATTTACGTAATAAAATCAAAGATCATATATATTGCTATGTAAGATTTAAATATAACCTTTGTAGGGAATCATGATAAGCTGTAACACAGTTTGGACCCTAGGCATTCATGGCTTGGGTTAATATTAGTTTTAACCTCAAAACCAGTTATAACCAAGGAATACAGCAGTAGAAAATTGAAAGCCGAATGGAGGGATAATATATTACATCCAATTNATTGTAGGAATGAGGGGATAATGGTTGGGGAGATACAGGTGAAGATAGGAATGGAGTGTTAGTGCCCCAGAATTTGCCTAAATGAATTAATAAACCCACAGGCAAATGTAGACCAGGACAGGCTCGCCCGGAATCGAACCGAATACTAAACTATGATTTAATCACTATAATGAAGAATGAGAGGTTTTACCTTCAAATTGCGATGTATGGAAGAAAGTGATCTAAAATTGGGAGATGAATATGTGGTTGATTTTGCAAAAAAGTGCGAAAAGTCGCCAATAATAATTTTTCGCGTTTATACAAAAAAAAAACAAGATAGAGATTACAAATCAGCCCATTAAAAAGGTGAATGAAATGATAAAAAAGCCTAATAATAGTTCCCCGGTAAATTGCAAACAAAACAGAGAATTTGCATGGTCCTTCAAAAATTGATAACTCCGGTTGAAAAATATTTTAACGACTAAAATAAGTAAACTTTGTAGTAATAATGATCTTCAATCTAGCATCCAGATTGTAATCGCAAATAGCATATTTATAGTTTTTGCAAACCGCTGTTTTTTACAAAAAAAACGTCTTGCACAACGCTGCGAAAGCCTGGTGACGGTTGGACAGGATTGTAGGCTGTAAAATTTACTTTAGAATTTGACTATCTCTTTTTCCAAAGGTCTATTGGAAATATGTGAAAAACAAACCGCTAATTTTATCGTTGGACGACAACGGTTTGCGGTATCGACGAAAGTAGTGGTTCCCGAATTTTCCTTCGTTCTTTCGATAGCCTTTTTCTTAGATTTTCAATAGATCTTTGGAAAACAAGAAAACACACGTTGTAGAATGTACAATATATCTTGCAGAATACAACCTGTTTGTTAAATATCAGTCAAACTATCGGAGCGGTTTGAAATAACACAGTATTTGTAATTGAAATTTGGAGGGTATACTAAAAACTACTAATACTAGAACGTGTACAAATTTTACTCCTTAATGCGTATTTAAACCAGAGTTATCAATTGTTAATGACATACGCAAATTAGTTTTTCTGCAATTGGCGACAGAACCACTGGGTCAATTGAGTTCAACCGACACCTTTATTTATGTAACTTCGACCTTTAACAATTTCTTTTGCAAACTTTATGAAATACCCATTTCCCAATTTTAGATCATTTTATAGATATCGCAATCTGGATATGAATAATTTTTTTGTTTAGGTAGCAGCTTACATTAGATCAGAACCCCACGACAGCTAATTCTCGTATGTGCAATACTAATACAGAAAATACATGTTTGGATTTTATATTCTGACAAGGAGAGGGGGCGAAGTTCGAAATAAATTTAATTATCTATTTGTAATTTATTTTAATTTTATTCCGATTTTGCCCTTTCCTTACTATTACTATATATACCTCAGAAGCCTTACAACCTAATGCCTGGAGAAGACCTGAGATGATAGGTCCTAAAGCGCCTTGAGGTAGAATAGTTTATGGGTAGGCGCTAATCGGAATGAATCCAACACACTACCTAGTCGTACGGACGGCTTTAATTTTTTTTTTTTCGTTTGAAGATTTCCCCTCTTCCACAAAAAAAAACCGGCTCTGTGTCTTTTAAAGGTTTCCCATCTTCCACAAAAGCAAAAAAGGGGCTTGCGTGACTTAAAGTATTGCATTAACTAATTAGTAAACACTAGATAAATACAATTTTATTTTTCGAGGGGACGAAGGCGGAATATTAGTTTATTTTTGTTAAAAACCTGTACGCTTGCATCATACAAAACTGCAGGGGGAATTACAAATCAAAACAAACAAACACAAACGCATATACAATACATATACAGTAAAATAACTCCTTTTAGACACATCCACCGGGATTCACACGTGGCGCGTAACGCGACGCGTGATGCGTGACGGACAGTTTTATAGGTTTTATACCCTAGTAAATTTCCTTCCTACCGTCAGAAAGAAGTTTCACTTCAAAAAAACAAATTCAACTTAAGACTTATTGGCTTTGATTCTACAATTATAAAGCCGAAGTATTTTGTGTATAAGAATTTTATTCTAACCGATAAAGCCACAATGTGGTAAAACAATTTTTACAAGTTAGTTGTTTAATAAAATTATGAAATTCATAAAGACTATGATAAGGAATGCACTGAAGGTATCATCTGCTAAGAATACCGAAACGTTTGCACGTAAGCAAAAAACACGGAAGGAATCTTCAGAAACAGGTTGAGTTTCATTGAATAATGGCCGTGAAGGATTTCATCAAGCAAAAACAGAGAATTTAAATTCATCGTTTTTGATTGGAAGAGCATCCAAGAGATTCTTCAAAGAATAAAATTTCTTGTATTTGAAAGAACAGAGTATTTCACATTTAATATTTTCATGCAAATTTCGTCGTAATTTTGGTGTGGCTGTTTTTGTCTTATTTCTTTCTGGGTACCACGCCCATCGTTTAATGTAACTAATAGTAAGTGCAAGTATGACTGTACTTGAGGAAATGTAATTCCAGAATAGACAGTGGAGGAATTCTTTTCGTTAACGTTTCATAGGAGTGTCCGGTGATCGGTAAGAAGATTACAGGCCTGAAGTGTATTGAATTAACAGTCGGCATAATGACATGCCATTATAGACAATACACTACGACCTTTACTACATTTGCGCTCATGTACAAAGTGACAAACTTGTTCGGTGCTTGGTAAGTTGTTAGAATCAAACCCAAGAAATCATTCCCTTGGCATTTTACATTTTTTACTGCTTTATTTATTTATATTACGTATTTTTGCATCTTTCAAAGGTCATACAAGTTATACTAGGACTGGGCGTATAGTCCAGGCAATTTGGCGGGGAGTAAGTGGGAAAAATTATTCGGATTAAATTTTTTTACACAACTATATTCGAAAGATTCTCCTGAATACAACCATGTGGGTTGCCAGGCGGTAACCAGGTCGGATATTGTTTAAACAAATGGCAAAAAACAATTTTTTTTGATCGGAACAATGAAACTTCTTTATCAACGGAAGGAAATAAATTTATAAGGTGATATAACCGAAAAGTGTAACATCACGCGTCAAAACGTCACGGATCGCACGCCACGTATGACCCCTGATGGATATGTCCAAAAAGAGTCATTTTAACAGGATTTAGAAGCTAACCTGTTAGTAGCAACCGATAATCCGAAAATTGTCATTTCGACAAATTGTCAGCAAATCGCTCCTAAGCTATACTGTATATGTATATTGTATATACGTTGGTGTTTGTTTTTGTTTTTATTTATAATTCCTCTCTGCAGTTTTGAATGGTGCAAGCATAAAAGTTTTTAACAAAACTAAACCAATATTCCGCATTCGTCCGCTCGAAATACAGTTGTATTTTTCTGGTGTTTAGTAATGCAATAGTTTAGGCCAATTTTTTTTTTAATACTACTACAATATAAAATCTAAAGAATACACTAATACACGCTCGCCCTCTTGTTTGTATTCCTTGTCATAATCGCGATAAAAAAGTTTTATTCATATTCAAGTTCACATTTTCCGAGTTATGAATTTTTGAACGTTTGAATATACATGAAAATCGCCATTTTTTATGCTTCAAAAAGTTATTACAAAGTATGTTTTTTTAGAAGCTAACATTTTATATATATTAAATTAATAACACCAAAGAATTTTTTTTTTAAGATTTGTGGTAACTAGTGGTAAG